ATGGAAAATACCAACCTGCTAAAATGGAAGACAAAACTCTAATCAGTTGCTTCACCAAGTCTACTTGAGGTCTTGCCCTGTAGCGGCTCTCTCTCTGCCCTGCGTTCCTCCCATCCTTGAAATCTGTAACATGCTGAGCCGTGCACTGCAGAGATGCGAGGTGGTAAAGAGGCAGAGGACAGCGTCTTGATAACACAGCAGATGTAAACCCTCTGAAAGCCATCAGACCAGAATTGGTACCATGTGTTTTTCTTTCCTCATCGCCCCTCCTTCCTGCCTGCACTTGTGTTTGAGTGAGAAAAGGCCCAGAGGCTCGTTAAAACTTTAATATACTGTACAATCACAGTAATTGAGTAGAATTTTCAAGTTCTTCCAGTCATGGTTTTAATTTATGAAGTCCCTATGAAAGTTTAATGGATCAGCAGTTGTAGAGTCGCAGCTATCTAAATCATTCTGCAGCTATCTCTGCCTGCACTGCCTGCCAAGTCCCGCCGTTAGCGTCCTGTGCCCTAGAAAGATGGCCAGATTGCTCCAAAGGCACGACTGTTGCTGGACGTCTGTTCAACACATTGTACCTAGAGATCTTTCACAGAGCCGCATGACTGGCTGTGAGCTAGCAAGCCGAGGTTTTGGCATTAATTTTGATGCCGTTCACCACATATCCAGTGTTTAAATTTGGAGTTTCCCTTTATTGTATTATTCATACAAGCAAACACAGGATCCCTGTTGCTTGATGAGTGCAGTGTAGTATGCTCACTTAATTATGGAGCAACTCTCGTGAGAGAAAGGCTTGTCAGGGAAAATGCACAAGATGAATTTGCCACCACAGCTTCTTTTGCTAATAGATTGCGGGAGATATGATAAGCCACGTCCTTGTTTCGTTGTAAGCAACACCAGTCCGACCGTACTTGAGATGTTTATTATTGTTATTAATATTTTGTCAGGAAGCGGGAACTGAGTGACACACAGCCCTGAAAGGGGCTTATTAAAAGAAGTTATTGTCTGCGATCGCCGCAGAGAGATACAACACAGTGATTAATGGTGTGTTTTACAGTTGACAAAAAGGCGCAGGGAGACTCAGACCTGAGAGTACAGGACTGAGAAATCACTGCACGGAAATTGCTAGGTATGGGTTACCTCTAATAAAAGAAAGCATTCTTCAGATGTGCGACATCATGCGCTGCACAGAGCTGCAGGCAGAAACAAAACTGTTCTGATTTCTTCTTTGTTTGACCTACTTAATGCTCTCTGATTCAGATGTTCCATAATTAAAAAATCTCTTGTTGTTTTTTTGGTTTTGTTTAGATATTTTATCACTATTGCATCATTTAAGCCTGGAGTCGAAAACAAGGCGGTTCTAGCATTTGGCTCTGCGGTTTGACAGGTAGTGGGACAACATAAAGAGACACAGCATTATAGCAGTTTCTTGTTAGTCTTAAACTGGAATAAATTTAGCCCGTCTCAGTCACGCTGTCTCAGTGTCTTAGCTTCAGAAGCATCCAGATGATGTCACTAGAGACTTGCAGCAAAGGGTATTCCTTTAAACCCGAGGTGTCTATTTCATCGATGGGTAAAACGCAGAACAGAAACAATCCTATAGACATTTAGATGTGACAATCTATTCGGTATAGTCCAGTCATCTTCCCTTCCTTTCCTTCCTTGTCCTATTTCACATTATCTGTTTTCGAGGTAAAGTCAAAACTGGCAGCCTCTCACTTTATCGGCCTTTTTTCCTATCAGACACTTATCAAAGCTCCTTTCTTCTCCTCCTGCCACTGTTTGCATTGCTCTTATCACAGCAAGTAAACACTGGCAGTTATCTCGCTGATGGTGACATCTCATAAGCCACATCTGCTCTGCTGCGCATCTGGTGTGCAGTAGCAAAGTGTAAGTTCTGTGAGTGGATAAAAATGACGCGCACAGATGATATTGTGATGGCTCACATCGACCAGAATGCCTGCTGACAAACTGATAGATATAGTGGCTTAGTACCATGTAATAATGCACTAATTCAGTTCACACGTATTTAGATTTCTGCTACACACCTGTAATGTTCTTTCAGTGCCTTGTGCACAGTTGAAATACTATTATGTTGACACACCAGCCTACTGCAGTAGGTGTCTCTAGGATCATGCATTACAAGGACCATATAGACACTACTCATCGTAGTATAAATCAGTCATGACGAAAACAATCATTAGAACACGGCTGATTATAGGCATTCATATATGTCAACTTGCCCAGTGGTGTCCTGTCGTTTTCTACCAGTCACTAAATAAAATGTGGCCCACAGTAGTACTTGTGTGACTGGACACTGTAACCATCTCCTCCCCCTCTCTTAAGGGAAATACACCATGTCAATCCCCAACCTCCTCTGTCCCTCTGGGAAGATCCATTAATGCCCAGAGGGATACCGGCTGCAAGCCAATGGAGAGGTGAGCGGTAAACACTCGAGCTTTACTCTCTATAAACACATCCAGAGGTATCAGCAGTATGTTGGCTGTGTATACTATCTAGTTCAAGTGATGTCACAAGGGGCAGTGGATTTAAGCAGGTTTTAGTTTGATGCTAATCCCCTTGTGGCAAACGCAGTGGACAAGAAGACTACGCCTGCCAATGGCGTGCATCAACCCCCAGTGGATTAGTTCGCCTTGTCCCCTCCTCCATTCTGCTGCCATTGTCCAGCATGTGTTTTTTAACCCCAATTTCTCACCCTCAGTCTTAGCTTGGAAAGTAACCGTGATACCCAGTACAAGCATGACCTCTGCAGTAGAATGGAGCAGAGCTGCAACCTAAAGGTGTGTTAATTTTCTGTGTGTTTGTATTCTTTCTGTGTTTTTATCATGTTGGGCCTCTCTCCCCACAGATTTCTCATGTTTCCAGGACTGAATTATTTAAATAGGTTGCCAGCAGGGAGCTACATGATAGCATAGACTGAGAAGTGAGGGGAGGGGAGGGGGGCTTTTGGTTGCACATCAGGTAAAAGGGTACCTCCTGCTTCACCTTTCCTTTTTTCCTCTCTGTTCCTCTCTTTTGATTGGGGCTGAGTGTAACTGGAGAGTTGAAATACAACACCTGGCTCTATTTTCCGCCTTTATAGCTGCCCTCTTTATTGTCTTCACTGATGCCTAACTCAAGTGAACAGTCGTATTTTGGTGGCTCTCTGAGCCAGCGTGGTCCTGAATGGAGTGAAGGCCAGAACGATAGGGCTGCAAGTCGCTGTCACTACTGCGGTAACATTGCAGGGTGTAGAAATTCTTCTGCACTGTGTGGGGAAGACGGAGACGTTTGGTTTCACGGTCACCTAGATCTTGGGGAAAAACGGGATCCAGTCCTCCACTCCTCTCTATACAGACAGATCCAGCAGGACCAGCATGGGCAGCCACCACTGAAGAATACCTCTGTACCTGACCTAAGCAGCAGTCTCTACCTCAAGGAGCTAATGGCAGGCCGGGCCTCAGCACCACCTCAGGATTATTACCTCACTGACGCCACCTTATCTGGTCATCCACCTAAGGAGTCTGGGTTTTACAGGGATAACCAGCACTTGCTCACCAGATCAGCCTTGCATTATGGGCCCAGCGTTGGGGGGGTTAGGTCTTCCTGGGATCAAGGACAAGCAAGAGCCACACCCTCTTTACTGGCCTCTGCTTCTACACCTACACCCGCGCCTCTTCCTCCTCCCCCTCCTCCCCCGCCTCCTCCGCCACCACCTCCCCCTCCGCTTCATGAGCTGAGCCGTTTGTACAGGGAAACTCTGGGATCTAAGATGATCCCAGACGTCCAGCGTATTGGTGGCAGCTCTCCCGCTACTGCGATCTTCGGGGCTCAGCCCCCGCTTCCTGTTTACGCTGCTGAACCGCTGTCTGCTCGTCAAACTTACAACAGTATCAACAGCTTGCGCCTGGATCCCCTTCAGCCAGCTGCCACCAGTTCATTGGTGGATCCAGCTTCTCAGGGAATGGACGCAGCTTTCCCCAGGGCTTACGGAGCTGTAGCCTCCCAGAGGCTGCCTTATGATCCAAACTATGACCCCAGCTCAGCCATGGTGGCTGCCACAGCTGGAATGGTCTCCACCTTGCCTCCTCACCAACCCAGTGCTGCAGACCCTAAGAAGATGGTGGACCCTGCTTTCTTGGCTTTCTTAAGAGGGGAAGGCTTGGCTGAAAGCACAATTACACTTCTGCTGCAACATGGCTTTGATTCCCTTTCCACACTGGGGATGATGGAGGACCATGATGTTAGATCTGTGGCCCCTAATTTGGCCCAGGCCCGTGTTCTGTCACGAGTGGTGCTCAGTTGCAAGACAGGTGGGACGGCAACACGTGCCCGATCTAATAGCTTCAGCCATCGCAATGACCTCTACGTGCAGCCCCAGGGTTTGACTATGGACCCCAACCTGATGCAGCAACCTCCCACCACTGTCCAGACAGTTTCCCCTAGAATGGGAGAATTTCTGGGTAGAAGACCGAGCAGCGCACCCTCCCAACATCTCCTGGAAACCACCACCTACCCAGGAGCACGGCCGCTGGCACCTGGAGCTTTTCCAGTCAGCCCTGGAGGATATAGCAGTGCTGTGACTCAGGGAAGACCCTTCTCCATGTATAATGCCCACACCGGTCTTGCCATGTCTGCTCTCGGAAACCAGCCTCCACCTGCTCCAGGCACCCCTGGAGCTGCACCTAAAACCTTCTCTGGCTCCTATTCCCCGATGGAACTGATGAAGAGAGCCCCCAACTTTCCCCCAGCATCACCTGTAGGAGCAGCAAGCCCCCTTCACAGCCCACAACTTCTCCGCAAGGGGATCAATGCTGCTCCTGAGAGTACCATAGTTCCCGTCAGCTCTGCCACCACTCTTCAAGCGCAAAACCTTAACAACAACAAGATGGTGGGACGCCGCACCGGTCCACCTGTCATAGTCTCAACCATGGTCACTACGCCTGACACAAGTAATGTCCAACCTCACTTTTCTCATTAATTTATGCAAACCTTCCATCCTTATTGCTGAATAACCTTTTTTTTTGTAAGTTGGTAATAATTTTCTTCTGTATATTAGTTCTACATATTTTGACATGGATTTTGGCATACTAGGAAAAAAATCACACTGACAGTGTTTTTGAATGGAGGAGTAGCATGCAAGCTGCATCTGACAAGTTAAGTAGCTTTGCTCGGAGGGGTCTTCTTTTTTGAATTACGCAACTATTTATACATGTATTGCAAGAGAGTTGTGTCATTTGCCAGAGGGGATCCTGTCTCATCATCAAGTTGAAATATTTCTTTTGAGCAGCACTGCTTTTATTGAGGTCAACATTTTTTCCATCTATTTCTTTTTAAAATTGTTGGTCAGAATTATTTTCAGGCACGAATGTGCTTTTGGAGTGGTTTGCAGCTCCGTTTTGCTTTTCAAGGTTGCCTGCACTTGATTTGGTGAAGTTAGAAAGCACATTTTAAACACTTTTGATTATTTAAGTGTAAGATATTAGACAGAGTGAGTTAAGTGACAGAATTGCATCAATGTTAAGCTTGTCTTATATGTAAAAGTTTATTTCCTTGATACAGAGCTACTGTCATTCTATTTTACGCTGCACTCTCTCCTAATCTGGGGCTTAACCGCCTCAAATCCAATTACACTAATTGGATGTATATTTGCGTCGACTATAGGAGGTAACTGTTTTTTATAGACTCCACGCTTCCACTCAAATCCTGCTTCCAGTGCAGCGCAACTAAAAGAGTGTTTCTTTTGTTATAAACTCAAATTTAACTAATATATTGAGTTTATTAAGTAAATGTCCACTGATCTGCATTGTACACGTTTTCCAACATGTTCCAAGAAGCAGTATACAGTTTAGATTGTAAAATCACTGCTAATAAACACCAGTTGATGTTCACTTTGAAATTTCATTATAGCTTTTTTCATAGTGACAGAGCCATTAAGGAAATAACTACTAAATTAATATGTTTTTGGAGCTTTCCTAAGTGTGCTTTTATATTTAGATCTGCGGAAATACAGTTATTAATGGGCCTCAAACAAGGCTAACACAAGTAGTGAGGTAGCGTTTTATGTCCAGATACTGCAAGTGAATTCTCCAATGAGGCATCATCTCAGCTTATTTTGATTTCTCCTTCTAACTAGTTGATATATTTCCCGGCTGATGAGAGCTGATGAGCTTAGGGAGGAATTAAATCTTTTAACCTTGTTTGAGGCCGTGTAACCCTGTATCTTGCCGGCCTCTCTAATGGGTCTGTGGGCCGCTGCACTTGTTATAGAGTAATGACTTTTATGAAGTGGCTTCCCTTCATGTGTTGTCAAGGAAATAAGAAGCGAGGTGTGAGAATCAGAAGAGGGAGAAGGAGATGTGGGATAGGCAGGAGGGTTCCTCTCGCAGTTTCGCGGAAATGTACGCGTCTCTCCAAGGTCACGGCGACGGCCGAACGTACCCATAACACTTTTAGCAAACAAACTCATTTGCATGGTGCTGACATTTGTTGCTTCACTAACTTCATCTGATAATGGGCGGCCCTTGCTGCTGATCGGAAAGCGTACTTCTTAATTGTGTGTTGCCAGGCAACATAGGTTTCAGTGGTAATCAGAGGCAGATAATCTTCACATTTAAGGAAACGGGAAAGTGGAGCTCCGCATTCAGTGTTACACATTTAGTTTTTTTTACACGTGTTACTTTTTTGCAGAGATAATTGAGTGAAAACAATAAGACTGTGTAGGCCACTAAATGAAATCATTTCTTTTACCCACCCGCTCCCCCTGAGCAGTGTACATCTCAAGAAATTGCTAGTCATTTTTCTGCAGAGGCGCTTGTATATCTGTGAAGAGCCTCTCGCATTACATGCATGGCGTTTTATGTTAAAACATGCATATTGATGAAAAGTTGACATGTAATTCCTTTTACACGTCCTGAATAAATCCTCCCAATACAAAGCACGGTCCTTTTCATCGTCTCACATTAAAGTGGACGTTTACACATAGCGTCAAGGCATCTACATTATCATACCATTAAATTCAAATTTATTCTCCAAGGAGAGTTGTAAAAACAAAGACGTGAGCAGAAGTGAAATCGGTGCTTTCTTAAAATATTTAAGTAGATGTAGGTGCAGGTGGGAGGGCCCTGCCTCCTCTCCGCTGGGCGCTGTCTTGGTTGGCTAAAGCTGTAAGTAGTGTTAATAATGGCATTAAACGGTTGAGTCAAGCTCTGTTGCACCATTTCCTTCAACCTTAAGTAGGGAGAGGGCCTCGAAGCACTTGCATTGGCCATGGAGTTGTCCGTCAGTGGCATCCCACAGAGCGGCACAGGTGGGTGAAACTTTCAGTGTCACGTGAAGCAGAAGAGCCATTTCCCTGGCTGTATGTGCGATTGGCTTGTAGCCTGAATTGTGTGCGTGCTCAGTAGATTAACAAAGGTGGACACTTGCACGTGGTTTCCTTGTGGAGATAATCCGCAGAACATCTTCAGCTGTACTTTTCTGGGCTGGAGAATTAGCAGGCAGTGTGGGGAGGAGACGGGGTATATTTTGGGAGCAGAGCTTGTAACTTACAGGGAGGAGTGAGACCAGAACTTGGCAGCAGCGCCTCATAGCCATATGGGATGTGTCAGTTGATGTGTTTACCTGAATAAGTCTGTTCTCTTGGTGACACACTCGGTGCCCAGGTTGTAGTCAAAACACAGCAGATCACTTTTTTTTGCCTCTGAGAGGAAACCATTGCTGTTTGTGGCTGACAGTTATGCAACCTTCCAGTGCATTGTTCCCATGGGGGGCCTGAATGGGATTTTAATTTCCCTGCCTGTGTTTGGAAGGACATTCACGAGGATGCATGCCTAATGTGCACTCAGCTGTCCTTGGCTAAACTGCTTTGTGTTCAGGTGTCTGACGTTGATTTCACTGTGCACTCGTACATGTTTTTCCCCCTAGCTAGGTGGAAAGAAACCACTCCCTGTGTGTCATTTTGGCCCTAGACTAGTACTTGCGAATGCTTTAGCAACAAGGTAGCGTCTGTCTTCCTGCGTAGCCACTCTGGTTTTGATTCTATGGGAGCAAAGCGCTTTGATTTATAGCTAACATGGTCACACATGCATAACTCCAGATATTCATGCATTACGATATATTGCTGTGTGTGTGCGCGCTGGTGGAACAATGAACGAAGTTGGCACAATCCACCATGCTGCCACACATGCACACAGACAACAGATGCCCGTCTCTCAACAGCAGGAAGTGCTCATTTTCATCAGGATGGCTGAATGTGATGAAGCTGACAGCAGGACACAGAGACAAGACCTTAAGTTTCCTCTATTTGTCTCTCTCTTCCTTTGACTAGCACTATCTACTATACATATAAAGTGCCGTCAGGAAGTGTTGCAGTAGAATTGTTTTAGCTCTGCTTTAAAAAAAAAAATTCAGCTAACTTAAAAACTAGGCACATCACGAGCTACTGGAGCACAGCTGAAAACGTCTGTTTTTCTGATGTGTATGTGTATGTGCAAACATGTATGATCCAGGCTCCGTTTTCTTTAAATTCAAATGCCCTGCGGTGTTAAGGCAACACAAAAATAACTTTCCTAATACTTCCTGGCTGAACTGCATGTTTACCCTTTCCTTACTTGTTCTTAATGCAATTATGGGTTACACATTATTATTGTGGAGGGCTAATAGCTTAAGGCAGGAATAGGCGCAGAATTAGAGAGGTGGAAGCCTGCTGTCCACATGTATGTGTTTGTGCATGCTACTATACAAGCATCACGTGTTGCTGACAGTCTGTGTCATCCTCGCTAATCCCACTGATATGAATGAAGGGAGACAGACAAGAGGGTTCAGCTCACACATCGTCGGTATGGAGTTATTATGTGGAGCTGTAATAAGCATCTATATGTGCTATTGTATTAATGCCTTATAATCATGCACATGCAAAACCCTCACTACTTTAAAGCTGCAGAGCAACTTATTCAGTGCTAACTCTTATTTTTTTCCCTTTTTTGTTCACATAAAAGAGTAAATGTGTAGTAATTGTAGCCTTTGTGCTTATTACCTGTAATTTTATTGAAAATAATTGTGCAACAAACTGAATGAACTCATAACATTTGGACAATTTGTTCTGTAGTAAGTAAAACACATGATCGGTGGTAATCGGTAAGAAACTTTCCTACCCCGTGTGCTTCACAGTAACTTTGGGATTCTTAGACACTTGCCTGTTTGCAGTCTCTCTGTCATGTATCTCCAGTTTCCTTTAAAACCTGGTAGATGTTACATGAACTGTCTGCTGCTCCATCTCCATTAAAAATCCGTATTGTTTGTATCCCCGAGGAAATACGACAAATCTATTTTTCCACTTCAGTATTTATTTCAGAGAGGGAAAAAAAAATTGAAGGAAAAAAAAAGTGTTTTCGAGCCCCATCCTCACTCACCCCTCCCTCTGTGTTTTCTCATGGTTGATCTTTCCAAACCATCGGTTGCGTTCACAGAGGGATTAATGGTTTCTGCAAAGCCAGCCAACCCGTGGAGGGAATGGAGCCTTCGAGCGAATGAGGAACAGCTGGTCTCCCCCTGCTTGTGACAGCTTGAGTGTTTGAGTGTGTGTTTGTGCGTATATGTGCGATAGTTGCAGCTGACCTCTGCGCAGGGTCAGAGGTGTTCCTGCTCCGAAATAACACAAAGTTTATGTTGCCGCTCTTCTGCATTGCTGATAAATGCCAGTCAGTACTGTCAATAGGCCTATTTAAGGATTACCGGTTTGCAACACAAGTTTTTGTTTATACTCTGCAATTACCCTGTAATTACCCTTCAAGTTTGTGTGTTTTTCATTATTGAGAGAATTTTCTGTTATTTTGTGGTGATCAATTTGCTGTCGTCCTCAGTGCTAAAGGTAACTGCGATGGTGCGATGCATACAGTGTGAGTATGTGCGGGGGGTTTTCTCCAGCTTTTGTGGGTCTTCATTTGATGACTTGTTATGATTGGTGGGAAGAATAATTTGGCTATTTCGAGAGACTGCATTGTCATGTTTATTCTACTAGTCTCCCCATCCCATGGCAGTTTTGTTTACAGGATAGCAACGGCGTGCGCTTGCTGCTCGTGCTGCAAGAATGGCAGCGCTTTGATATAATCTCCCCAATTATCTGTCGTCAATTCCGCTGTATATTATTCCTCTCTCCACAGCAGCTGGGGAGGAGACTGGTTTTGTGCTTGTCACAGAGGAACAGCTGCATCCACTAAAGCAGACAACTACCTCTGCATACCTCCCCAGTTATTCTCTCCTTTTTTCTTTTTTTTTTGATCCCTCCCCCTCTTTCTCTCTCACTCAGTGGTGGGCAGGTCACCCTGAATTATTCATCAGTGTGAAATGAAAAAGCTCATGGATATTGAATATCCCCTCTGAAGTGGTGGCCAACATTGTGGTTTTTTTTCTCCTCTTCTTCGATTTTTTTTTTTTTTTTTTTTTGCAACTGAAAAGAGTAAAGAGAGGCAGATCTCATTGCCAGGGTATTTCAAAGGTTAACCGATTGCTTTACCTCGTGCACATATTTACTTCTTTCATGGTCTGTGGTCAGGGAGGAGGGAGGAGGAGAGACACTGAGAAATACAGAGGATGAAGAATAAAACCTAGGAAGACAGATGAAAGCAACAGGATTTTTTTAAAGGTGTAACAGTAATCTCTGTTCTTTTTTTTCCTGGAAGAACTTGTTTCTCTGACCACCATATAGTGGGTGATCTCATTGCCTAGCTGATGTACTAACCTTTTTTGTTGTGAGGCCTATTTTCTTCCAGTAAAAATTGCGCTTCGGCCGGTTGTGGTCATCCTGATCGATCAGTTGTCATTCGTTCCCCATGTGGTCCTCTGTGCTTCTCTATTGTCTTCCGGGCTAGTCTTTTGTCCTGTGGTTTGATCTCCTGCCCGTGTTGCAAATCCATGTTACCGGTTGCCATTCATCCAGCACAATTGCCAGTAAACACAGCAGAGGCTCTCAGAACATTTCCCATGTGAGTTTATTTGTAATGGGCAGGGATAATGGGTAGAAATTAAAAATTCGGTCGAATATTTTTGTTTCCCATTTGCTGTCCTAAAAAGTAAGTGAATACTGATTTTCCGGAGGACAAAGATGTGAAACATCCTCCTTACTGCCATAGAGCAAATGCTAAAATAACAAATAAACCAAAATAATCTGCTCAGCAGCGAATCCCTCATCCCTTGTTTCCTATGTTGTACACACTAATAGGAGATGGAGTGCTTTATTTGTTCAATAATACCTGAGAGTACAGGCAGCGCTGACCCTGCATTGCTCCCATTGGCTGCTACCTTTGCTTCCTTTCATTCTGGTCCATTTTCCTCCATTCCTGATTTCTACTGCAGCACAGACAATTACGCAGGAATGCTTTTAAAGGTATTCTCAAGCTTTACAAATGTTCCTACAGGAAACAGCCAGGGGTTCAAACGGCTTTTATTTATTTATTTTTTATGAGCAACAGTTCTTAACAGAGTCATAATGACTGACAACTGGAGAGAAGAAAGATATTTTATTTTCCCATGAAAAAAGGGAAAGTCAAATTGTTTGTCTTCCAGGAAAGCCTCTTTTTTTTTTTTTTTTTTTTGCTTTAAACTCATATTTGGGAACACGCCGTTACCTCTGGGTAATTGTGTTTTAGCTTGAGTGAAATGCATCAATTGTGACGGCGTACAAGTTGCGTGGGAACGTCGTTGTGGCTTTAAGGTGTCAGGTTTTCCAGGTGTCAAATTGTGCGCCCAAAATGCGAACTCCGGTTACAGTAGGTTTCAGGGTATTATATTTTGTGGGGAAGAGGTCTGTGCTGCCACAGGATGTGTAAAATATCATTTGCCATGGTAGAGGGAGGTGGATGAGTAGGTGGGTGGGAGTTTCTTTTCAGAGGGTGTAGTGCGATGAAGCGGGGGGGCTATGATGATGAAAATGGCTGTAACTCTTTAGCAAAGTGAGCTTTAAAAGGCTGTAAGTGGACACCTCATAGTATCTGATGGCTGACTCCTGGTTGACAGGACCCCATGACCCCAGTGTATTTATCGTAATGGAGCACAGCTGGGCTGCAGCTTCGATGGGTTAATAGCCATGTGACAGCTTTTGGTGGTTGGGGGGAGGTAGGCAGGAGGTATTTTGTGCACGTATGTGCATGCATTTTATTTACTCGTGCACTCCGTTGAGTGGCACACAGGGGCCACACTTGGGAGGGTTGGGACTTTGTGCTCCACTCTCTCTGCCAGGCCAGATGGCTCCTGTCACTGAAAGGGGAGGAGGAGCGATGGAAGGAAAAAGGGGAAGGATGGAGCTCTGAG